CCCCCCCCCCCCACAGACAGACACACACACACACACACTCACACAAACACAAACATCTAAAATATTTAAGCAAAAAATATAAGATGACGCGCACCTGTCTTTGATTTACCGAACAATCACCAAAAGTATTTTCTTCCTGTAATCTTTTGTCGCTGATCAGTAACATGCTGTCCATGATATTCCAGTTATTTGTGAACAAGGTGAATGATATTTGCGCTGGTTTGATTTGCAACACATCAATTCTGGTTGAGTCTAGTGGAGATCAAATTTCTGCATTCTGCGCCCAAACAGAAAGCCTGTTCACAGGCCATTTAAAATAGATAAGTGCTCTTTTAGGTAACAAACTTACTTGTTACCTGTTAAACATTCTAAACATTCTTAGCTTTTTGGTTACAATAGGAACAAAAATTATGAACTGTATTTGTAAAGCAAACAGGAGTTTATCAGGAGCGAACATGACACTATATTTAGAAACATGTTGAGAGAATTTGCAATGTCATGACAAATTGGTCGCATTCCCAGACTACTAAATTGGCCAAAATTCCCCTGAAAAGGGAGCGAAAATGAAACATTTTCCATCCTACCATATCTCAATATACCGGTACCAGATTTCTCAGTGGTAAGTGAATACATAACACTGTATACTTTCGAAAATTCTCAGACCACCACAAAAATTTATTTAGGGGCGACGTATTATAAGCTTAATAAATCTCTAAGATTTTGGTTCTCACACTAAATACGCGCATTACTTATTAAATAACCAGCAACACTTTAAGAATTATACTAAAACTACCCACTAGAGCCTTCATATGATGTTATTTCCTTCACGTAAAAACATTGCTTAGGTGCGTGTTAACACGAAATGGTTCTGCGAGCGGTGTTCATATTATTAATTGCAGATTGAGCAGATAGGGTCTATTACACATGGTTTCTCATTCACAGTATTTAGATTCCTTCCACATCACAAATACGGGCGACGATTTATTTCCGGTATTCCAGGGTTTAGTTCATTTCTGGTATATTCTAACATTCCACAGACAAATTGCTCAAAACAAATCGCATGTTTATGTTTCAATATTCGCTTCCCGTGCGCTGTACAAACAACGGGTTAGACAATGTTCTTGTGCAAATATCCCACCGCATTCCGAACTTTCTTTGCTGAAGAATTACTTAATAGACAAGTATTAGTCAGCTACTTGTTATTATCATACAACGATAACCTATTAGGAAGAAAAAGAAAGAATCGTACCTTGAATCCGTCAAAGCCATTTCTCCTGAGACGTTACAGCCAAAGACAACTTGGGAACGAGGCTGTTGTAACTTTACGCAGGAAGAATTAACCTTGTACCCAGGGCCCCAGGCCAAGGCTGATTTCCAATTTTTTTTTTGACGTTGCTTTATTGATGATGACGTCACCTTTATTCTTATGTTTTCAATGTGTATTATTTTACAATTAGTGTCACGCAAATAACAGTCTGCAGTCTGCAAATGTCATACACCGCTGAAATACATAATGATGTACGTCAAACAATTTTTTGTTACTGTAAAACAGGCTCCACAAGTGGGCAAGATGAGACAATATTAGACTGCTCAAGATTTCCTATTTTGTTTGGCAATAAAAATAAATTTGGTGATAAAATGAATCCTTTATTGACTGATGAATTAGTTTGTTCAAAATGGCTGAAAAATGGCATAGTTCTTTTTTGGCATTTTTATCAACCTAGGGTAATCAAGACAACTGTGGGAAAAAAATTAGAGAAAAAAAAAGAACATGAAGAACAAATAACTTACTGGGCAAATATCCAGCCAACCTCGCAATGGGGAATAAGGCATATTTTTAGTTTTTTATCGGTGCATCCATAATGCAAACAGGAATATTTAGCAAAATCGAGAATGGGTTTCTTTTGAACACTGATGCAACTTGTAAATTTTGCAAACTACAACAAGAGAAACTAACCTTTACATTTTCCTTTGTTTGAGGAGCAATTGAAAAATTCGTTGAATTGATCAACCAGGGACACAATGCTAGAGGTGGTGGCTATAAACAGTCCTTCTGGAACCTCAACACTAAAACAACAGGTCAGAACAATAGGGACCTTAAGCATCGACAACGAAATACATGACGACGATGGTTATAACCCAAGGAGGATTGGCTCGAGGCTTTCGTTCTCGGCGGGAAAAACAAAAGTTAAGCGGTGTGTTTTTTTAAGGAGACGACGATTTTTGGTTATCTGACAAGTAGCTCTAGCTATGGCTTTCAAAAACGTCCGAAATCTACTTCTAATTAATCACAACGATGGCTTTATCAATGATGATGAATTTGTTGTTCTGTACGACCTCTATGCATCGAAAAACCTCGACTTTCCGTACGATTCGTACGCACCTTTTGACCTGGAAGAGCTTGATGAGTCTGAGAGTTTTGCAGAGTTTCGCTTTGGAAAACGAGATATACGAATTCTGAAGGAAGTTTTGCTAATCCCTGACACGATTACCTGCAGTCAGTGCTCTGTTTGTGATGAACTAGAAGGTCTGTGCATGCTGCTAAAGCGGCTTTCTTACCCATGCAGATATGGAGACATCATCCATAGATTCGCTAAACCTGTTCCAGTTCTTAGCATGATCACCAATCAAATGATTGACTTTGTGTATAATGTTCACGGGAATAGAGTACTAAACTGGAACCTTGAGGTCCTTAGTCCTGTCAACCTGCAGACTTATGTTGATGCTGTGACAGCCAGGGAAGCCCCACTGCCCAATTGTTTTGGGTTTATTGACGGTACCGTTAGGCCTATATCAAGACCTGGAGAACATCAGCGACTTCTTTACAATGGGCATAAAAGGGTTCATGCCCTGAAATTTCAAAGCATTGCTTTGCCAAATGGCTTGATCGGAGATCTATATGGCCTAGTTGGTAAGTTACAAAACAGTACAGGCCACCAGCTTTAAAGCAGGGATGTGACCAAATGTTTATTTTTGTAGACCTTGCACTTATTTTAAAAAAGGAAAAAAAATGAAAAAAAAAGAAACATTTTTCAAGGATATACGACAGGCTAAATTTATTGATTTTCTTATTCAATAATGATTACCAAGGTGAGATCACCTCAACAGTTTATTGGGAGCATAGCCAGAGGGAAGAGGGGACTGCCCCCCCCCCCTTGAAATAAATATAAACTCAAGATGAAATTAGAAAAAATTTTCTGAAGTACTCATATAATCAACAGCTTATGCAACCCAATTGTTCGCAACCTTTACTCTTACACTGATACCTACCATCACGTACCTATTTTTAGAAGGAAGAAAACATGATGCAGGAATGCTTGCTGATTCACAGCTACTACACGACCTTCATCGGTCCGCCTACAATCCAGCTGGCCAGGCAGTCTGTGTTTATGGTGACCCTGCCTACCCCCTTAGAGTGCAGATGCAAGGACCCTTTAGATATGTGACCCTTCACGCGAAAAGGTGGCTTATCTAAATTTCACGCTGGGGCTATTTTCACGCTCCAAGGCGTGAAATGGAAAAATATTACTGGAATGTGAGTGAAATTTCTCCTTCACGCCGTGAACACGGCGTGAAAAAAGTCACGGCCAGAGTGAAATGTTTCACGCCGTGAAAAAGTCATTGCCAGAGTGAAAATTTTTTCACGCCATGAAAAAGGTCATAGCCGCCGTGAAACATTTCACACCGTGAAAAGTTCACGCTATGAAATTTAATCCTTGAGAGAAAAAATGACTCTGTTGTCTTTGCTAATGTGAATGTTATCAGCTCACAAAAACACGCAACCGGCAATTTGACAATAAAAAGTTGGAGAAAACGCGACACTAAACTAAACAGTAAAAAGAAAAAAAAGAAGTAATAACCAGAATTTCTATTTAAGTGATATTCTGCATGAAATGGATGCACTTATCTGTATCAAATGTCAGACTTTTGATATTTGTAATAATTGGTTTATTGCGTTTCTTTCTAGGAACACGCAACGTCATAAATTATTTCCGTCGTGTTTCGTTTCATCGATGACAAAAAATGAAATAATAATTTCAAAAACTAATTATTAGTTTTTTGAAATTATGCAGTGTTAAATTTGTCACGAAAAGTTTGCCTAAACAACTCATGCAGTGAAAGTGTGAACTGAGTAGTTCAAGTTACGAAAGAAAAACTAAATCACGACTTATTGAGTCACGAATTTGCAGATATTTAATGTTTTATCGGGTATAAATAAGTCAGTGTATTTTTCGAGCATTTTTACCAAAATGTAATCTTTTTGAACGGAGCTTGTAAGTTTTCACTCTATATCTGATTTAGCTCTCTTGTACAAGCAAATAAAGTGACTTACTAACGAAGATACAGAAAAAAAATGTCTACGTATACGCTATCAACTTAATTAATGTCAGACTGCGTGGTACCAAAATTGTCTGCCCGTTTTTTGTGTCGTCACGCAATGCTCCTTCCCACAAATGGTTTCTTTCAAAGCATCCTTCCAACAACATCTTAACCAACATAATTGTTTAGTGTAAATTTGCCTTACATTACTACAGCTATATCACCTGTAGTCAAAACTTATGAATAACGATATAAGCCAAAATAGGCTCCATCTTAATGCTGTACAACTATCACCGCGATCTTTAGAAAAAGAAAGATAAACACATACTTCGCATTTCGTGATCATTTTCTTGTCACGGAAAGTCCGCTGATATTCATGAAAACCACTTTCTTACGTCCGCGAAGTACAGCTTTAATTGCAAACTCAGTGTTACTTTCGTACAAGTCATTGCATAGAGCAAGTTGGCGTAGAAGATAAGTTTTGCTGGATCAGAGGTTTAATGTCATTCGCTAGTTTTGCTATAAAGGTGCTTGCTTGTTGAAAGGCTTGAATCAGTTCCACTTTTATCTTATCAAGGCTTGATTCTACGGAAATCTGTGCAACGCTGAACCTCAGTGGGGTGCGACCGCAAGCGTACACATGCAACACACTGAAGAAAGGAAATAATTATTCCGGATTGACTGTTAATTTTAGCCTCATATAGCACAATAATTCGTTGTACACATAACAATAAAATTATGTCTGTTTGACACCAAATATCCAGTTGTGAACAACTTTGAGGTTCAGTGATATCACATTCAGAGACTACGAAGCCACTAGTAAAATTTTCCAAACAAATTTGTCCCCGTTTCTCACAAAAGCAGCTGTCATGGCGTCGCAAAACACACATTCCTTTACTGCTAGTGGTTTTGGCGGAATTGAAGAAACCCTTCAGCGTGAACTTGATACAGTTCAAGCAATTTATTTTCCGCCACAGTTAGATGGTTACTCTTCAAGTGATTCTGATGGCGAAAGTTCTGATGACGACAGAAACGACGATAGTGATACGCTTTTCGAGAAGCCAACAATATTAACCAATAACAGCCACGAAAGTCTTCACCAGAATCCTGACACTAACGACAGTGTAAGTGAAGATAGTGACAAGTGGGTTCGCACGTTTCTAACTGCTTCCTGTCAGTGTAGTCTTGGTCCAAATGAACGAGCATGTTCCACTTTGTTTACCGAAGCTACGGTGAGTGAGATGAGGTCTCAATGCTTAGAGCTAACGTCAGATCAACTGGATCTGCTTATCATTGGCAGACTCGATGGGCATACAAAAGAAAGGCATGGTATGAAACGATCTCGTTCTCAATTCTTTGTTCGTGGTCATCAAGTTTGCAGAAAGATGTTTTTGTTCCTTCACTGCATATCTAAAAAAAGACTCGAGAATCTGAAAGCTCACTTAAGAAGTAATGGTCTAAGTCCCCGAGTCCACGGCAACGAAAAAGGCACTCCACATAACAGAACTCCTTACGTATCCTTGCAACATGTTGTAAGCTTCATTGAAAATTACGCTGAACGAGAAGGCCTTTCCTTGCCAGGCAGAGTTCCAGGCTACAAGACTTTCCGTCGCGTAAAGCTTCTGCCTACTGCCACCACCAAAGCAGAGCTGTGGAGGTGCTATAAACATGCAGCAGAGATTGGGGGGTACACAGTTGTGGGATACACAAAATTTGTTAAAACTTGGAACGAATTCCTTCCCTTCATTAAAATAATGCAGCCGTCAACAGATCTTTGTCACACCTGCCAGAAAAATACAGAAAAAATTTCAGGACGTGCCGGCGCTTCAGAAGAAGACAAAATTGAAGCTGTTGAAGCCCACCAGAATCATCTCAGAAAAGCCAAACGCGAACGAGAAATATACAATTCTGCCGTTGATGCTAGTAAACATTTTCTGAAGGGTCACCCAAACATCACACTTCTTTCACCTAGTCGCCCCTGTTCTTTGCAAGGGACTGTGCACTATTCTTACGATTATGCCCAGCAAGTGCACTATCCTAGCAATCCTCAACAACCAGGTCCCATTTACTTTAAAACGGCAAGAAAATGCGGTATATTCGGCATATGCTGCGAAGCTATACCGCGTCAAATTAATTATTTTATTGATGAGTCAGTTGCAACTGGAAAAGGTGCAAACGCGACAATCAGTTACGTGCACGATTTTCTTGAAAACCATGGAGCTGGTGAAACAGATGTTCACTTCCATGCGGACAACTGTGGCGGCCAGAACAAAAACAACTATGTTCTCTGGTACTGGTGCTGGCGTTGCATCCATGGTCAGCATGAGAACATAACATATTCTTTTTTGGTAGCAGGCCACACCAAATTTAGCCCTGACTGGTGCTTTGGATTGATGAAGCAACGGATAAGAAGAACATTCGTGTCATCTCTGTTTGACATACTGGAGGCCAACGACAAATCGACCCTCAGTGGTGTGAATTGTGGCAAGCTGGTTGGGTTGCACGATGGAACTGTTCTTGTTAAAACATATGACTGGTCAGGCCATCTTGCTCCTTATTTCAAAAAGTTAACAGGAATCAGCAAATTTCACCACTTTCGCTTCAACAAAAATTATCCAGGGAAGGTGTTTTACAAGGAACATGCGGACGCAACAGAGAAAGAATTTCAAATGTTGAAAGACGCAAGCATACTCCCTCCCCGTCTCCTTCCTCCACAAGTTTTACCTAGTGGACTTGATGACGAGCGTAGGAGATATCTGCACAAAGAAATTAGAGAGTTTTGTCGACCTGGCACGGAGGATTTTGTGGCCCCTGTAGTACCATAGCTTTTCCATGCATTGTTGTGAAAAGATGCCGCTCAGTGAAAAGTTCTTTGAAAGATGTTTTTTATTGTGTAAGAAAGACCTGATTACGTTGTTAAGAAGCAATAAAATGAATAAACTGATGTGACAACGGCAGGATAATTTGAGACATGTTGTGACTCTGCGAATTAGTAGTAGTTAATAGTCAAATAAATGAAAGTATGCTAATATACTTATTGCAAATGTTAAATATTCTTTTGATTTACGGCGCATTTGAGACAAGAACTGCAAACTGAAAGAGGCGCCTTGCTAGTGTTTCGTGTTTTTAAGGAAACTTGCGTGCCGAACTGCGAACTGCGTTACACAAGTGGATCTGTCATCGGGCTGTGAGAGTTAACATTTTAGCGTGATTAGTTGAGCTTTATTTTCTTTAAAAACCAATATTGAATACAGTGTAATAAACATGTGACCATTCTTAGTGAAAAAATGGCTTTTATTTGATTCTGGCAAAATTCACAGACGTTACACGATCATGACGAAGAGACAAGTGAGGCGGTAGTTTCAGTCTTGGCTCACGGCAAATCTCAGTCATCGCTCTCCTCATCAGGCACTTTAAATATTTTATCAACTTCTATCATCTCTTTCAAGGCTTCTATGCCAATCTTCGTTACTGTTGTGATTAAAAAGTTACAACAATCTTAGTGAAAATTTTCAATAAATAAATTATTATAAGAAAACAAAAATGATTCCTTGGTAAAAAAAAAACGCACTTCCTTCCCCATAGGTGGGGGAAGCCATACAACCACAAAAGTGTCATTATAAGAACGCTGCTAATTCAGCATATTCTACTTACTCTGAAAAGTTCGCTGCAACTCCCGTCTGCGAGACTGTACATGATTATCATATGGGTCTCCATAATCTGTAAACTCTTCATACAAACAGAACGCACTTTTCAAGCTCTCCATCGCTTCTTCAAACAATCGGAGAGCTTTCACTGCCTCGTCTTGTGGAGTTAAGGATTTTATCTGGGTTTGTGACATGTTTCTTTCCGACGACTGGTAATTTTTTTTGTTTACTACTACCTATCAAAACTACAACTTTGCATGAGAAGAAAACTTCCCCTTCTTAAGATTTTAGGTTACGTCGTCACGCTAAAATGCGTGAGCTTCAGAACAATGTTTGCCTTGCGTGCCAGTGGCCATCTCACTGCAGATGCTATTAAAACTCACGCATTATTTTCTTTGGGGATGATAAATAAGTTAATTGATTTAAGGTAAAGTGTACGGGGAATAAATGCAAATGCCGCTTTCACACTTAACCAATGCTAGACAGTTTCATTCTATGTTAGTTCACCCATGTTTGCAAGGCCGGCAGATAGTTTGTCAATGGTACAAAACGTGCTTGTTTCAAGTTAATGTTAGTTAACTGCCAAGCAACAACTAGGTGAGACCGGATTTCCTTAGCAATTTTCATGTGGCGCAGCAGGCATGAAAATGATCTATTTTTTGCCAAAAGTACACGACATCCTTACACGCTATCTCAACCTTTTAAAATGCTGCTAAGCCCGAAGATCTTTCAAACCAACCCTCTCATACTGTGTTGTGCAACTATCGCTGTATTGATCCTATTTGACCAAAAGTAAGGAACAATGAACAACGTTCTAATTGAATGGCGTACAAATGACCGATGGCATGGAGTTCAGCAAAAAATAAAGAGAAAGGATATAACACCAGATGGGCCTTTGGACATTGGTCAAAAGATTTCTGTTAAGTTTGGCCGAGGGCGCCATGATGCCATTGCTGCGGAGTCATGGAAACCCAATACGAGAAGTATGTTGCCTATAATTTTTTCTCCCTCCATTTACTAAAGCTTTGAGATCCCAAAAGGGCATCGTTCATTTGAACGTTTAGGAAGATAAAGAGGAATGCAAACGACTGCGACAATAAAAAAGATAAAATAAGACAAGTTTGCCTTTCTGTAATGTAAGTCTTTCTTAAGGAATGTAAACTGACCTGTGACCTTCAAGGAATAGACCAAGGATTTACAGTGCAATCAGATCGATATAGTTTTTATTTGAAGCTCATTTTAAAACTAGTCTGCAGTACATACAAAACAATTTATCTTTTTTGAGTTTAAAATTGTTAGGCTAAGGGTGTAGATATCTTATGTTTTATTTGCACAAATCCAGTGTATGTTACACGAATTTAACGCTTAGCCTGACTGTCTGAATGTTCACCTAAAGATACCTTTTAATTTGAATGAAGGTAACAAAAATTAATATTTAGCGCCTCGCAACATTAGGGAAGAAATAAAAAAAGGGTCGGTGAATGAAAAATAAACCATATAAACACAGCACAATCATAAACACTTAGTTGACTCGAATCATTTCAGGCATTGAAACAGCCGCGCCAGATGTTGACTCAGACCCAGAAGACAACTTGCCACTCAAACAACTTGTCCAGAAGGAATCGGCTAGCCCGAAGAAGAACGTTTCAGAAGCTAAGTGTTACCAAGAGTACATTTTGAAAAGAAATTTAAAATTAACAACGGACCAAGAGAGAACTGCCAAAGAAAAATCTTTACCTAAAAAAAAAGATGACGTCAGTGAAGCGGGCTCAAAACGAAAGCAAAGTCCCGAACATTTAGTCGTAGAAAAACCGCAACCTGGGCACCCTGATACGGTAAAACACCTACGCCAGGAGGTTGTTTCAAGCAAAGAGAATGTAGAAGACGCACAGCCAGCACTCCAGGACCTTGATGATGTAATGGCTACGGAAATGGATGATACAGATGTAGAGGATGAGAATCTGGATGTAGAGGAGGACTTTGAAGACCTGAGAGGAATATGGCATGATAACATAGATTTCGATCCGGACATCGGACAAATTTCTCAGGTCAGTAAAGTTTGATATCCTTAAGTCCCAGAGATACACTTCTCTCGGTTACTCCGTCAAACACTTTAGGAACTCCATCCCCACGTGAGCTCTAGCAAAAATTGATTTTCCTTGTTTCTGTTCCTCACTTTTTCTGTTTTTTACTCGCAAGAACTGGAACCATCGTTTTTCTTGAACTTTCGTGAGGCGAAGCACTCCGTTTATTAGTTAATCTCAGCCTCAGCATTCTTATAAAAAAGAGTGTATCCCTACAACTCTCCCTTTTTAGTTCCATGCTTCTGTTGTAAAGTATCCTCCAGTACCAAATGAGAACCTTAGGAAGGCCCTTTTTTAGGTTGAATGTGTACTATGCAGCATGCAACTGAGTCACAAAAAGCTCACTAAGTAGCTAATATAGGACTATCAGCTGTTTGGCTTAAAGTCTTAAAACCAGTTCAGGAAACACATAAAATCAAACCGTTATTCTCTTTAAGGATGTGAAAACAGTAAAGGATTGGGTAGAGGGCCTGCATAAAAAGGCTGATGTACTTTTCAATTTGGTGTCAGCGATAGAAGCGAGATTAACTGCTGTAGAAGCTGGAATTTGCCTCGTTCCTTTTTCACCCCAAGATCCACGCATACAGTTTCCAAGCACTAGCATTTCCAGTATTCAATTGCCAGACCAGCCAGCCTCTCCACAGTCACAAAATCGGAGTAATGCCATGATCACTTCTATGTCATCGTCACAGACAACCACATCTATTTCACCATCTGTACAACTTGAATCCTCCACGAAGAAAAATCCACAGTCAACTCCGATCAGACTAACTCCACAGCCACCACCTTTACCAAGCATCTCTCCCATCGTTTCCAACCTGCCGCAGGAGACAGCGCGGAAGCTGAAAAAATGTCGGCAAAATATTTCGTCCAGAAAAAAGTACACTCGCAAATGTTTAGAAGAGCTTTTTAGCGCAGACGAGCTTGCTACGTCAAATGTTAGTGGCACCTCGGGCAAGGACAAGCTCGATGAATGCAAGATTGGACTGATAAGTCGTAAGTAGTTGTCATCGATTACAATGTACATAGTTAATCCCTCTAGCAAAAGAATGTTGTAGCACACAGAATAGAAACCTATATAGATTTTTCCTAATAAAGAATAAATTAAATCACCAGTTCACACTAGAAAGAAAAGTTGGAAGAGAAGAAAATCTGCTGGACCGAATTGGTAACTCTGAATTACTATTTAAATAATCTTCTATTTTTAAAATTAAACTGTCACGCACCCGGGGTCACGCAACAAAAAACATCAACAAGCGTTCTTTTGAAAGTGTCCTCTCACAAATTCATTCGAAACTTCTTTTATTTTAGAAATCGAGGGAAGACGTATTTAGATTTCGCGAGATAAACGAAGACACAATTCAATCACTTCCTAACTGAATTTAATTTCTTGTTTTAGGATTAGTGTTAGCCGCGTTTCCTCCAGATCTACAAGTGGAAAACGTAAATGATGTGACCAGGGAGATATTATCCACAATTAACCTGAAATGTAGGGAGTTGAAGAAGGCAAAACGTTGTCCTCAAACCACCTCGGATGTCTGACACTTGCATGCTTTTCATCTGATAGTGGTGAATCGTAAATCGGTGGGCAACAAACGCAGACTGTAGACTTGCAAACTGGCGAGGTAAACGAGGTAAACATTGTTGTGAATCGTTCCCTATCCTTAAACTTTAAGTCTCCAAAAGTCTAGTTTAGGGATAGGGAATCTGTTTAAGCATTTCACAACAATGCTTGCCTCGCCAGTCTGCAAATCTGCAGTCTGCGTTTGTGGCACACCGTAAATGAACGGTATCTACAATTAAACAAGAAATATGACGTCTCGTTCCTCTCTCTTGTATTGAACCCGCTATTTTGTACAAAGCGCACCTTGAATTTATAATAAATAGTTTTTTTTGTATGGGATTCTGGGTGCAAATACCTGAGGTGATATGACAAAATTGTTGTGGAGACATTGTGTTTCGGACTGCCGGGCATTTGAGCAAGAGTCGCGAGTTGAACGGATCAGATCATGCAAACTCTTTTGTGCTCAGGAGTCTCAAAAAGCAAAAATAAATGATTAATTGACAAACAATATCAGCATATTTGTTTGGCACAGTTTAGATAAGCCAGCTGCGAACTAGTTACGATCCTGTTTGAAAAGGCGCAGAATTTTTAAACAAAGATAGAATACGTACCTTTCAGTTCACTTTCCCGTTGAGTAGGAGAGGTCAAATCATGACAATTTTTTTTGAGCCCAGGCAAGCCATAAAGTTATATGCTGCAAAGCCGCTATCCTTTTCCCAATAGCATGGCAAATTTAAGTTTATTAGTAAATAAAACAAAATAAAGTTAAATCTCTTTCTAGAGATAAAGCCAAAGCGTTTTTCTTGAATTTTATCTGATGTCTGACTTCCGAACATTTTAGTTGATTTGGGAATCATTACAAAAATATCCATGACGACCACAAAGCAACATATCGTATGACAGAGTTTTTCTGTAATGATAACATCTGTCGAAAGTTAAGACGCGGAAAGAACGCAGGTAAGATTTCATAGCGTGAAGCTCCTTTCATCACCCTAATCGATTTCACGGCGTGAAAATTTTCACTCCTATATTCACGGCATGAAAGCTTTCACTCTATCTTTCACGGCATGCTAGTTTCACGCCGACAGTGAAATTTTTTCACCAGAGAGTGAACACGGCGTGAAATTTTGAATTCACGCCGTGAAAAGTCCAATTCACACACCGTGAGCGTGAAAAAATTTCCCGGTTTTCGGTGAAATCCATAAGCCCCCTTTTCGCGTGAAGGGTCACATATGGTGTATTGACGCCACAAATGCAGCAGTACAATACAGAGATGAGTGCTGTTAGAAGTTCTGTTGAATGGCTGTTCGGAGATGTAATCAACTCGTTTAAGTTTAATGACTTTAAAAAAGATCTGAAGCTTTTCCTCAGCAGTGTTGGAAAGATCTATGTTGTTTCTGTCATACTGCGTAGTGCAATGACTTCCTTGTATGGTAACATGACCTCAGAATTTTTTTACCTTAGGCCACCTACTCTTGACACATACTTTGGCTAGGAAACCACACTATTGCCCAGTTTACAATGCCTTTAATAAAATATGTACCTAAACCTTATAAGTGCAGTTAACCATGGTAGATATTTGTATGCTGATAAGTTAAAGACTATTTCGCACACCATTGAACTTTTTAAAGAGAAAATGAATAATAATAAAATTAAGCACAATTTTATTTCTAAAAGTTTTCTATTTTTCAAGAAATGTTATTGTAACTATTGATTTATTTCCCAACTTTATTTTCCATTTTTCAGAAAACTGTGGTTAATTAACTTAAATTAATTTTATAAATATGAATAAAAGAGATTTATTTAAAAAAATTAAGCACAACATTGCAGAGTCAGGCTATTTTTTTGGAATTCCTTTATCAAACATTTTGCCAATATAGGAGCCCAAGGGCCTGTTTGTTGGAGGTTGGGCTGGCACTAACCCAGGACGTTTACCGTGGTGACTTAATGAATTTTTACAGAGTCAACCCTGAGTGAAAGCTACCCCAATCTAACATGACTGAATGAAGATACCCATGATTCTTTTAGAGATTTCTAGAGTGGACTCACTAAATGTAAGAAATACTATGAGCTAATTACATAAAAGCACAGCTAATCAAACAATAGAAAAAAATAGACCCAGCTATAAATACTATTCTTAAGATTTATTTTGTGCATTTAGTGACTGTACATTAGGGGAAAGTTTGGGCATTTAGGCTCCTTTGTACAGAAAAACATCTGTCTATCAGCAAAAACAATGTTTTATTTCTTCTAGAAACTTTACAAAACTCTCTATAGAAAAGAAATATAATTACATCCAACAACAATGCTCTTGAAGATAACTAAAGTCATAACAAAGGTCAACTCAACAAGTTCAGGGCTCTTCCACATTCATAAGATTCGAGCTTAATGCTTTTTTATATTTTCCATCAATGCCATAAATACCTTGTTTTGCTGGTCAAGCATAATTTAAAGGTTTTGCTGTTGAAGCTGCTGCTGTTGCTGCATCGTGTTGATCAGCACCGAGAACATGGTCTGTTGCTGCTGCGCAGCCTCCTCTTGTTTGGTTTCTGCTAGATCAAGCTCTCTTTTTCTGGTGGCTAACTCTTCCTTTTTCAATTCTCTCTCTTTCTCTGACTTCTCGGCCAAAAATCCGATTGCATCAGAGGTGCTCCTCCTCAATTTAGCTTTTTTTGGTTTCTCGCCACTATCATCGCTCTTTCTAATTGCAATTGTCTGAAGAGCCGCCTGTCTGATTTCCTCTGCTTTAGCTTTTTCTTTCTCATCTTTTGCCTTCCTCTCGTTTCTCAGGGCGTCACTCTTTTCTTCTGCGCTTTTCTCTCGCTCTCGAATTTCCTCCAGCAAGGCATCAAGCTCTGTGAGCTCGGGGACATCGATCCCAGAGGCTTTCTCTTCTTCTCTTTGCTTTAGTTTGTGCCGGGAGATCAGGAGTGCATACCTATCTCTCACTGCCCTTGCTGTAACCCTGAATTCTGGAGTCTTCAGAGAATTCAAATAGGCTGCGATGCTTTCCTATACTTTCGCTCTCTCGGTGCTTTTCGGTTTAAAATTGTAAGGTTCGCTCGTTACAGCTTTGAGAAGCATCAAGACATCATGGTCTTCCGTCCAAACAAAATACCTGGACTTACTCCCTGTCAAAAGAACGCGAAAATATATATTTTTAAAGCAAAACTGAAGATTTATATCTTGAAGTGCAACTTAAAATTAGCACAATGGCATGCAGGTCTAAAATAAGAAGAACATGACTTCAAATATCCCAAAATTCTCCTTAAAGAGATCAGTACAGAAAAACTTACATTTCTTTTGAACGAGTTCTTTCTCGGCTGTAGAAATGTGGCCGGCCATGGTTTCGGATGCTTCTGAAAGAAAGTCATTTTAGTCTGTTAAAAATAACTGTTAAACATTTGACTTCCGCTGGTCCGCAAATAATACATCAAACAATCATTATAACAAAAGGTGGAAACAGATGATTATCAGCATGAAAAAGTTTAGTTGTTTACTTACGTTTTCACCAGGGCGAAAATTTGCTAAGATTCAGTCGTCGACGAAGGCTGGACGACGTTTTGACAACCTAACGCATGCCCAGAAGGTTCGTGCGGGAAATTTTCACTTCCGGTCGGCGGTGTCGTCCCATTTCGTCGTCGATGCTTAAGGTCCCTAATAACATTTTAAAGTCTGAAGTAATCAGTTCTAACAGAAAGGGGTAAATACCAACAGTCAATAAGTATATGATAATGACAAGTGCAATCTTATGGGCCTACCTCGGTGTAAAAACCTGTGGTGTTTCTTTGTTTTCTAGCTATTATTTTGTTTTACATCACTTGTGAGTTTCAAGGATTTTACACCGAGGATGAATCTTCTCGGGAACATGGAAAAGTGAAATTGTTCTCCTCGAGCATGAAACTAACAACAACAAAAAATGTAACAACAAATCAATAAATCGTGAAAAAAAAATCCCTTTTAACGGCTTGCTGTTGAAGCCTCTTTTGTAAAAACTTACCATTTCTTCTTGCTTTCCGTCACAATCATTTTTACTGGCGGTTCATAGCCAGAGTCATCAGAGTCAGAATCCTCGTTGTGATGAGCTGGCACATTGTCAGTCACATTTGGTTCGAGCGGAGATTCATTAGTTTCCAAGACAAAGCTCTCCTAAGTTCCTTTTTCTCTCAACTGTTTCTCTACATCTCTACTGCTTTTAATGGTCTTTCCACTCGGATTTACGTATCAAAATAAAACCGAGGAGTAAGGGATTGTTAAGAATGATGATTATAATATGGTGGTGATGATACTTATGAGAATCAAATCCAGTTATAGAATCATTCTTCAGTCATGTTGGCCGTTATTGGCATGCTATTTACTTGACTGTAGTGCTAATTGGTGTGTATGTGTCAATCAAATTTAATTATTTTGATTCTATGCTAGAGTACTTAAAGCTGCTACAAACTGTTACTTTTCAAAACTTGCCTGTTCTCTTGGAATCTTGTAAATTTCGATGCACTCTACAAGCAAATCCACAATCAGCGGTTCACCCGACTCTGAAGCATGAGGAGAGGCAACACTGTATTCTATCTGGTAGTCTTTGGTGCCAAAGGGTAGATAACTTCCTTAAAAAGGAATAGTGCCAAGCTTGGATCCATTCCTTCAACTTCTGCCAGGTCCAAAAGCTGAATTGGAGGTATAAGGTTAATTTTTTTCATGATCTCCTCTCAGTTAACTGACTTCAAAGAAGAGACAGGGATATCAATGTTACAATAGAAGACCAAATGAAGCTCTTAAAGGGAAAAATAAATATTGTACAATATACATTTTTGCGACTCGCTGTAATTAAATGAGAAGGCTCCATTAAAGTTGTTTTTATGCCATTCTGAATAAAGAATTCTTAAAGAAATTCAGGGTTGTTCAATGGGAGCTCTGAATTAAATTTTATCCCTCATACAGTTGTTACATATGAATGATTTCATATATATATGTATATTATTCACATTGGGGAGGGGGGTAATGCATTGTAAACTTTCTTATAAAAGTCTCAAATGATGTGCGTGTGTTTTTTTTTCAAATAGAATTAAGTTAGATATTACTTTTTGCAGAATAACATATTTTGGTAAAATTTTTGAGAGTTTCAATAGGTTCATCTTTGATAAATATATATTACTTAAATACCAATTGCTGCATGTATTAAATCTTCCACCAAACAACTAATGATTGGGTCTAAGTTTCAGTTGCTGTTGCAATTGCTACTTTCGAAATACCGGTATACGGCTAAAAATTCTCTGGTAACCTAATTTTAATTTCCTCTTTTAGCTTGTGCTAACGAAATTGAACTGTTTTTGTGTTTGCCAAAAGTTTATCACGTGATCAAGTCATGCAAAGGGCCTATTATGTTGCAAATAAAAGTAATAATAATTATAATAAAGTTGACTCTCACTTAACGGACATCTGGTGTTGATCCCTTCCGTTTTTCAGTCATTTTACTGTAACTATGCTCTCTGTAAGACGGACGCCCCTCTGAGATCGACAACGGACACTAGTAGACTTTGTTTAAAACTCTGATTGTAACACTTAATGTAGTTTATTACTACTTGCTCACAGCCTTTAGTTCAGCATGATAAGATATCTTTGAGCTCACAGCCTCCAAGGTGACCTACTTTTGGTTAATCTCCTCTTGAAAGGCAGTCCACAGTACAACTTCCATCTCAGCCGTCCACGTTACCTCTGAGGTCTTATACTGACACTCCTCCTCCTCCATTTGTATGAGATCTTTCATTGTGTACTTTTGATACGGCTGACCTTAGCAATGTTGTTGAACTGGGATCGCCATCAATTTTTACGTTTTTTCTATAAGGACTTCATTGCCTTGCTTATTTGGCTTGAAGCTAGAGACTGGGCATTCCAAGACAGGAATATGTGACTGTCATCATACACCTAATGTCAGTTTCCTAGGAAACAGTTTTTTTCCCAAATTTCGTGATGTTTCCTGAGATGCTCCCAAAACCCCCATACCATGGCACCCTTTTGGAACTAAACTGCCTTTCAACATGCTGTCTGCTGAGTGATTCCTTTAGTGAAGGTGACCGAAGAGTTGTTTGAGTTCTTCAGCAGCAATCAAGTACGTGGAAGCTTTGTCGGACAACATGCGGTAAGGTGGAGTTTTGCAGCTTGTGAAGGGACGGAATGCTTGAAAGAAACATGACAAGCTTTGAAATGCGACTTGACATACAAAGAAACCAGAGATGAGAATGACCCCCCCCCCCTAAACAAGAAGGTCATTAAACCACACCCCCAAAAAATGAACCGTGATGAACAAGTTTGCAATATGGCATTTTCATATTTACTTTTTCAGTGGGAGGGGGTGGTTTGGCCAGTTTTACCCGAACATTTAAAGAGTACTAACATTCTAGCTGGTAATTCTTTAGAAAAATAAAAGATAATGGGCCAGGCACCTAGGCTCTTGAATGAGAAAAATATACATCTACTGAACATTTCCTGATAAAACGTTTATTCACAAGTAAAGAAGTAGGCGCATGCACAACCAGTTATACTTACTGGCACTAGGGCCAGCTGCTCCCTCATCATCCGAATTGTCACTGCCTGAAGGACTTGATTCCGAAAAAGAAAAAGAAAAGAACAGGGATGGTTATTTTTAGAATTCCTCTATTTCAAAATTTAAGTCTTGAGTGAGTAATTACTTACTTCTCTTCAGTGTTTCCGTAGGCTTATCCCTGAATTCATTTGCTTTCTTTTTATCCTCTTCATCGTTTTCTTGCATTTCTTGCTCTGCTGCTGTAAGTCATCAACATAAGCCCTGATGAATTTCATTATACTGCTCCTCAGTGCCTGACCTGACAATTTAACAATAAGACCCACAGCTATTTTCTCGTTATTTAATGGCTGCAAAGTTTGGTAAAAACTAAAAATGAATTTATGAAATACTTTTTTAAGGCTGCAGAGTTCTCATCTCTGTGATGGCGAAGAAGAACATCAAAGTGCTCTTTACATGAGCGGCCTTTGACTGTCATTTCGTCTTTTGTTCGTGCTCTTTGAAGATTGTCAGCAATTAGGTTCCAGTCATTGGGATTACTAGGTCTTAATGCCATCACTTCTCTACGAAGATCAAGGTCATGGTTTATGTGCCACCTAAACATAGTCTGGAAATGAAAAACCATTGTGAGATTTTTCTAAGATGAAGAAGACTGAATAGGAGGGTTTCTGAAAATCTACACACTTCTTGGTACTTCCCGCAATTATGTAGGTTGCTTTCAACCGTAACTGATCTTCTTTTAGTTCTTACCAAGTTATATTTTTCTCATTGATCCTTCTTTATCATGCCCCCCCCCCCACACACACACACATACACGCACAGACACTCCTCCCTGCTATATCCAAATGCTTTGCTTAATAAAACACTAGCAACACGCATTTTCAGAAAACTAAACTTCTTCCAGGGTTCGTGCCCCTTTTTCAGAAACAAAGAAGTTCTAGGGCTTTTCCAGAACTTTTTGAGGACTCTAAAATTCACATTAACCCTTTCACTGCCATGATCTCAATGTTAATTCTCCTTAATAATAATAATAATAATAATAATAATAATAATAATAATAATAATCTTTATTTCTTAAGATAAAATCACATATCCTAAGTTACAATATAAACTCAAAAAACTATTTACATATCATATCTAAAAATTATT